TTCTGATTTGTATGTTGCACAGAATTTTAAAAATTGATTTGAAAAAAAATGAAAACGCTCTTTTTTTCAGAATGTTCGAACTGGAATCTTTTAAATTTTTTGAAATTTCGTCAAGAGGAAGATAATTGGTCAGCTGATAAACAGAAAGAGCATAGCACATACACCAAGACTTTGGGCAAGATTACGGGCAGTAATTCAGATGAACTCCGATCTAAAGCACTTTCCGCTTTGAGAAACTTTCCAGTTAAGTGAAAAGATTGCTATTCCTGTAGGGTAAGGTGGGCTTGGGACATCCAGACACCCCAAGCTGACTATCGTGTCATACCACATCACAACGTTTGACAATCTGAACAGGATTATATATGTTCTAGTTCAAGTCGTTGATGAACTATCGTGTTCGATGCTGGCCACCTTTCCTGTTACACATCACAGCACTCAACAATCTGAACGGATTGATATTGATCTATCGTGTTCGATATGACTGTTCTAGGTTGAGTCGTTGATGAACTATCGCGTTCGATGTGTTTATGAGTACCCGCTGATAATCATACTAGTTATTAGATGAATTAGACGATCACTAATAATATTTTTTTTTATAAAAAGGAAATGCAAAATAGTAGAGAAATTAAGAACTTCTGGGAAGGTGTGGAAATGTTAAATAGGCAGGGTGAGATTAACGATGCAAGGGTAAGTGTACTAAAAAGACTTATTTTTGCTTTCCCGTATAAAGAAAAAAAATAACTTTGGTAATCTATTTACCCTCTTTCTAGAGAAAATACCTTGATAATCTTGAAATGTCTACCTATGATATACTAGATGTTACGAGAATACATGTTATTGAAGATTCCACAACTGAAATCAGAAAGCGCAAGCCAACAGAAAATATCAAAGACAAGACTCCAACCAAGAACGTTCGTTATTGTAAAGGAAATAGTTTAAACGAAATAACCAGTGATGAAACACCTATTGAAGTAACTGATACAGAAAAAATAGAAGTAAGATGTTAAATTTTTATATCTCTTTTTCAAAGTAATGACTACAATCAGACATATTAATTAATCGATTTATATTTATCAGTCAAAGTCAATACTTTCATGGAAACATGTTATCGACAAAGTAACAATTTCTGATAAATCAGACCGTGATGTAAGTATTAAAAAAAAATATTATATATAACTGTCATTCAGATATAATGTTCTATATAAAAGATGATGTTTATTCATTGATTTTTTTTACCTATAGTGGTTAGTCAGTGAATATAATATTTCTAAAGATTTTCGAGCCTTCCAAATAAACACAGTTGAAAGATTGAAGAATAACCCAACATTCTCCTATGCAACTGATGTTGACGAAATCTTGTAAGTATTGTTATGCAAAGTATTGGTATTGTTTTTTTTTTTTTTAATGTTTTCTTATTTTGTATATAACTGTAGTTGTCTTTCGTCTATAATTTACGTAAAAAGGGAGAAGCCGGAATATATAAAATGTGCTGATCAAGTTTGGAAAGACGCATCGCATAGACCTCTGACCCCTGTAACATTGCCTGTTAATGTCCAGCTAATCATAATTGAATATAATACAGTAAGTCCTGTAAGATATTTAAATAAATAATCGACTAATGATAATTTGTTTTTAGCTTTTAAATGATAGGGAGACGTTAAGAGAGAGATGGCGCCAAAATTGGACTAAATGCGATGCTTCGATGACTAAGGAAGAAGCTAAAATGTTTGAATGTGTGCAACTCGTAACTAGAAATTTGTAAGTGAAAGAATTCATGTGTTATTTTTGTTTGTATTATTAGTGATAAACTTATGATTATTTGGTATTCTGCAGTTTTTTGAATATATCGTCGAGCAACACCGATAATAATACCATGGATGAAGACACTTTTGTTCATAGATACTGTCACTTAGTGTTAGAGGAAATTTTTAATACAACGGATTATAAACTTCTATGGTAAGCAAAAATTTCATTTTTTTACTCTAATAGTATTTACTACTAATTTCGAGATTATATTTTTTATCTAACTGCATTGGTGAAATCAGGGCAAATGGAGAATCTAGTAGTTCAAGAGAACGACGAAAAACTGATGATAAGAAACATGGACGGAAACCAGATTTTCGTGTACTCTTTGAAGGGAAAAATGAAATTATCTTTGGAGAAGTCAAACCGCCTCGTACTACAAATAGTGTAATAAATCATGCTTTGATCAAACTTGGTGAATTTATGAAAGGATCATTAGATTCCCTACACAATCGTTTTGGGTATTCTTCATGCTCGGAGACATTTGGAATCATCATTAAAGGTTAGGTTATCATTATTGAAATTTTATTAAAGCTTAACTGGGACAACTTTCCAGCTAAATTAATGTAAATTTAACAGGATACCAAATCGAGCTGTTTAGCATGGACCTTGCATTTGACGGATTATATCGTTTCAAGCAAATTGGAAAGATGCTATTACCTACAGAAGATGCTAATTTTTTAAATCTAGTTTCTGTTGTCTCAACCTTTTATGGTTTGTTGGTAAGAGCCTGCTACTGTAATTTCAAAGCAAGTTACTATGCAATACAATTTCTAATTATTTCTTTTATTCAGGAAAAAGTCAATCGTTCTATTGATGCATTTAATGAACCATCTACACCTACCAACCGGCCGTATCATAGATTATCAAATTCATCTCCTAACAAAATTCCAGTTTTAGAAATTCCGTGTTCTGTAATTAACTGAATTATTTTTACTTAGTTATATTATCTTATGCATTAACTTAGCGATTTGATAAAGTTTTTTTTTACTTAAATGATTTTTGTTGTTGGATGCCTCGGAAAAACAAAAATTTCTTGATAGGATGCAAGACCAATTTTCCTTTGTAGTCATTATTTTACATGCTAAAAGTTGATGATTGAAATTCCATTTTCATAAGTCCATTATTATGTATGAACAATGCATAGTAAAAACATATTACCTTAATAAAAATTTTTATAGTACCCATCTTCCCGATTGAAACCCCAATTTAACCAGTTCTTTTAAACCAATCAACACCCTTGAATCAGAATCTTCTTTTTCATTTAGCTGTGGTTGTAACAAGGTTGATGAAATTTTAGATAAGAAAAAAACTTACATCAATGAGGACATTGATTATAAGAAGGGGAGAGTTGTAACAATACTTGTCGTAGCTGTTCTATTTTTATTTCGTTATTGTATCTTTATTTCAGAATATGTTGTTTGTTTGCAGATTAAATTAATTACTTATTTCGAGCTACACGTCTAATATTAGTATTAATATTGTCATTAATTAGTGGACATTAAACGATGCTGGAGAACATTAATTTTTATTATCTCATAATTATGTTTCCTTTTAAGTTCATTTCTAAGTATCCCGGGAAACATAAGATACATTCGTATAACATGTATTTTTATTAATATTATTTATTATTGTAATTTATATACAGTGAACCCTCCATAAGTGCACCCTCTATAAATGCACACCCTCCATAAATGCACGCTATGTCTCATTCCCAACCTCGGGAGTTAGAGATAAATGCATACCCTCTCCCCCGGTCTTTTTTCAATTCTATAAGTGCACGCCCGTGACTTTCACGTGATTAATTTGCTAAATAAATTTGTGTTACGTTCATTAAATGTTTATATCTTTGTTACACAGATGCTGAAGATGTTGGAAGAAATTATTGAAATATATAAAAAACAACCAGAAGCACCCACTGATATTAATGAGGAAGAAGATGATAATACTAAACCAGTAATAATAAGTGTAAATGAAGCTTCAAACAGTTTGGAAATTGTCCATGTTTATTTACTGCAACAAGAAATCTTAAAGAACAATTGAGATGAGTTAATGCTCTTTTAATTTAAAAAAAAAAAATTCAATGAAGCAAACCACAATGAAACAATTTTTTAGCCAACTAAATAGTAGTACAGTAATAGTAATAATAAT